TATGTGAATGAGTAACACTGGTGTTTATACAAATAAAGGGGTGCAAATAATGAGGTGCAAACGTGTTAAGGTATAAATGTGTTATACGAACATTCCAAATATAAGATACGTTAGAGCGTATCTTATGTGGGCATGAAATGCGCGCGCGCGCCAAAGAAAAAATGCGTTATACGCAGTGTATGGGATGAGCATGTATGTGATTCATACAGATATATGTAGTACCAAACATAAAAACAAATTTACACGACGGGTAAATTGTTTTTTGAGAGGTGTAGGGCGAAGTTTTGCGTTAAGCTGTAGCTTCGTAAGTATACATACACTAACGTCGAAAAAACAACATGAAGTTGGCCTTAAACAAAAAATTGTTTTCGAACAAAAACATGTTATTTTATAAACGCAGAAAATGTACTTATACAAAATGCTTCAGTAAACACAAGCAGGTGAAAAACTTGCTTGGTTACACTCACACGCAGAAAAAACTTCTTAAGTGCTCTGTTTTGTGAAAATAAATTTTCATAAAAATGAACAAATAAATGTTTTAAAAAAAAAAAAAACAATATATTTTTAACTTTTTTTAAATTGAATTTTAACAAAAAATCGCGAAAACTTTTCAAAAATTGCTTTTTCTTTAAATATATACAAAATTGCGCACATGTGAGGCCGGCTAACCGCGATCAAGGCATAAAGTAAAAATTGCATACCTACATCAGCACCACATTCAATTTTGGTTATTCAAAATGTGATCTCAAAATGGCTAACTAGCACCAATAATTATATTCTACTGAAGTACACCTGTTCTAATAATACATGATTTGCTGAATTCAGCTTTTTCTGCTTTACATTTCAATGGGTTCTTTGACTATACAGGGATTCTCTAAACACACTAATTTTCCAAAACACACTTTTCACCATAAGAGATTTTTCCGTATTTTTGCGAATTTTGGGCATTTTCAACATTATGATGACACCGACATGCTCCCTGCACGAAGAACCATATGCGCACAAAATGGAAAAACAGGGAAATAAACATACCCCTTATGTGCAACGACTCCTGCTACCTAGCTAGGTAGCCATTGCGAACTAAGCCTCCTCGCATCCCTTTTAAAAGCATACATGCATCTAGAGAACGTACGCGCGCCCATGTAGAAGCTAGCTAATAGTTTCTCAAAAAAAAAAAAAAAAAAAAAAAAAAAAAAAAAAAAAAAAAACAGCCAAAATACTATCTGATGAGCGTTCCTCACATAATTTGAACACGAAGGGCGCACAGGGGTGGTGCTGCAAATTGTACATTTTTACAAGGGCATACTTTTTCGTATTGACTGTTTTCGTTTTAAAATATATATTACAAACATATTAAAAATGATCACAATGATGTTATGAAATATTAGGAAGTCGTGCCTTATTAACAGTGTTTCCTTCGAGGTAGTGTACAAATCTGGTGCACGCGAAAACGCGGGTAAATTCGGAAAAATCTACCAAATTGGCGCAAATAATCCATTTTAACAAATTTTTTTTTTTTTAAATGTATCAATTTCCCATTTTGCTTAGTGTTTTTTTTTTTTTTTTTTCAATATTTTATGTAAAGTAACATAAGAAATAATTTGCAGAATGTTACGCGGAAAATATGCTTTGTCATATGTATATATGTACACGTACTCAAATGCAACCACAATCCCTGTGGAGTTAAAAAAAAAAGAAAAATATAAGTTAAGGTTTATAAAGGGCTACATTAAAAGGTACATCCCTTCGTCAGCGCAATTTTCTCTTTTCAAGAAATTTTTTTTAAAAGGCCCACAGAACATATACTACACTTAAAACATAATAATTGCAATGGCATAGGTGTTGTACGTTCCTTGAGGTGTATTTCTGAATTATGCTATGTTCAACTTTGCAATTTGGTTCTACGCGTACAGATTAATTTTTCGCTTACGGTTAAGTATAAATTTAATTTTCTTCTTTAAACTGGTAAGGACTAAACATAAACTCTTTTTGTTCTTTTAAACCATAAGTGCTATATTTATAGCCGTATATTTTTTTCCCTTAACCATACGCTCTGAATTGGACTTATAATTTTTTTTTTTTTTTTAACCTTACAAGTTGATTTTACGATTATACATTTCTTTTTCTTTTTTTTCTTGACCGTAGAGTTTAATTACAACATTATATGTTAATTTTCTCCGCATATCTTAAGCGTATGTTATATCATTTTTTCTTTTGTCCCTCGTGGGTATATTCACCGGATCATTCTGTTGTATTTTTTTGTTCCCCCTCTCAAATAAATGCTACCAACTAGTACGATTCCTTAAAAAAATGGTTGTTCGTACCCTGTCGCTCATACAAAAATTCAAAGGGATAACATATATTTTTAAAAGTGGGCAATAACAAAAATGTGAACTGCATTACGGTATACATGCGTTCTTCCAACCATGCACTAATGCGTCTTACGATTCTCCTTACACAAATGGGCCTTACGTTTATGCTACCCGTGGCAAGGACTTATACTTCCTTACGAAGTGTAAGTGTGTGTTTGTACTTGTCTACATGTAGTGATTATACAGACACGGGCAGGTAACAAAGGGCATATATACGTCTACATACTATTACATATAGGCATCTCCTTCACGAGATAAACACGGAAGTTGCATTTCAGACTTCTGCTCCTTTTGTTGGGTGAATATTGAACTTCTTTTCCTATGAGGTGTCATATAAAAGTATAAAACACACGCTCTTACGAACAACCCAAGGGGAGAAGACAAACATTAAGAATATAAACAGTTTTCATGTTTTCTTTTTTCTTTGGAGTTCTGACGCGATAAAAAAAACATTTATCAGTTAAATTGTTCATATATGTGATTGATGGCATCATGGAATGTATAATATTCTTCCATTTGTATCAGCTACGACAACGTGTTCGTCATAAAGCTAAGTACAATAAATGTGTCACATTTGGGAGGGGGGATGTGCATGGACAATTATGCAACGAACGGATGTGGTACATATGGTTTCTTTCCATACGCATACTTCGCAATACAACATATTACCTTGTTTCACGGTCACATACTTTGCTACAACCCTTCTCTTAGCTGGGATTTGCTCGTTCGTATGCGCTGTGAACTTGTGCTTAACCCATATGTATGTTAGAGCATCTTATATGCTTTCCTACCCCCCTTGCCCCCCCCACCCCAACAAAAAATGCATAAAATTGTAAATACATGGGAACAGGGGAATGTAGAAGAATTCTCCCTGAACTAATTCGTGTTCATGTTTTCAGTATCATATGTTGTCATCAAAAAACTGGTTTCTCTTCCTCCGCGAAAACTCATTATACATTGGCCTGAATATTCGCACATAACTCTTTCTCATACTTGGATTAATTCTCTATTCCCCATGATGGAAAAAGCGCGAGTTGGGCGGAAAATAGGAACAGAATTCACTTAATCTTACATGGCTACATAAATGTCATAAGTGAGTTATATTCCTTGTTTTATGCCCTTTGTGTGATTTCCTTCCTTTGAGGGTCTGTTTCGCAAGCGAGCATTTTTGACTTTTTTCTTTTTTTCTCCTTCCGCAGCCCTGCGATTTTGTAGATACCTGTACACTTGCTTTGGCCTTGCGTAGTGACTTTACAATTGCCTCATACATTAACATTTGCACGTGAGCTTAACCATGTACGTTCATGTATACTTTTCCTATAGCTTTTCAATTGACCATACACTGGTACGCACGCTCTACTTGACGTTACAGGTGCACATGCGTAACTACGCTCAGGTACATACATACGTATGTGCTCATGTGTTTAACAATTATATGGGCACATTTATATTGAACATGATCATAAAACAATGGACGTTATTACGCATCCACAGGTGTACGGTGGTAACACATGAGTCTTCATCGGTGTCGCAGTACTTTGAACGCTAAGTATGGACCAATTTCGTGTTCGAATAACCCCCGACACACGGGATTCATTAATATTATGTTTACCTAGATGTTCTTTCAGAGGAACACATATAGCATTCTCGTTCTTCTCATTTTCCGCCAAATGTCTTATCAGGTTAGTTCTGTTTTATAACCTGATATCTCCTCTCGCCTGTATAACTGCTTCATTTGTCCAGGAACGTCCAACGGCAATCCATCATTATTCTGTTCCAAAAAGACTCAGCATTTTACTCACCTCCTTTTTTTAAGAGATACTGAGAACCGCCCAATTGGGGTAAAATAATAATAAACAGAAAACTAGATATTTATATATATAATCCTTGAATGAAAAAAAACAAAATGTTACCAGAAATGCACTGCTTAGGTTACAATAAAATGATGTCTCATTTTGAAAAAATGTTAACTTTGAACAAAATGGAAGTTATTCCTAAAACTCCACAAGAGGAAATTGCAATACATGACATAATGTCTTTGTGGATCATCACTTTTAGGGTCAATGCATGAACAATCCACCTTCTAATGAACCAATCTGATGTCCATAACTTAATGCTTCTTCGATTTTAGTATTCTGAGTTGTACATTTCTTTGTACATACCACATTATTTCCATTAATATTATAAAAAGCTTTCTTTAATAATTTATAAAACAAGTCATCACTTGTAGTACACGTTTTTTTCCATTTTGTATTGCTTCTTTAGAAATGTAGTTCAGACATAATTTACTAAACAACACTGAATCAGCAGAATTTACCGTATATTTTGCTTTAATAATATTGATAGAATTTATTATGTGTTCTCAATATAATATCATGTTTTTCGCAATTCTTGTCTAACGTATCTAATGAACAGTTAAATGCATCCATTTGTTTAGTCTTTTTTGTTCGTCCCATTTTCTAATAAGTGGTAAAATACTTTCATATGTAGTTTTATACGTTAGAACGTGATCGAACAACCAGTAATTCAGATATTTACATTTATCACATTCCGTTACTCCACGATATGGCTGTTCTTTCAACACAATTCTAATTTCGAAGTAGATTTTTACGAAGTTTTTAAAAATTTGAGCTTTTCGATATTTTTGACTGTTTCCACATGGTGTTACATAAATGCTCATATGCTTCTATTTTATCTATCTTTTGAAAGTTCATATATGAATTATGTAATGACCATTTATTCAAAAGGTTCACCTATATATTGAACAGTGATATAAAAACATACATGAGGAAAAATATATTCATTCTAATGCTGTAAAACCTTTGTTTATTTATTACACATATAAAAATAATGCTAGCAACAATGGATTTGAATACACATTGAAAAAATACATGCTCGGACAATTACAGAAAATAAGGAGTTACTGTATTTTCGATCTGAACTCATACGTAAAAAAAATAATATATATGTCATTGTGTAATATATGTGCATATTTGTATTATCCATTTTTGCAATGGTTATTCACTTAGGTCCTACAATTGACTGATGCTCGGAGACTGAAGCTCAACCTTTTATTGTTAACCCCCATTGCCCCTGAACCCATGCTTCAATTTATACATATATATTCAATTCATTGATGTATCCTATTTTACTTTTCTATAATTTTATTTTTGAAACAATATTCATATTGCATACATAATATGCCCAAAACATAAAACATAAAACATAAAGACGATGAATCACCGAGATGAGCTGAAGTATTTTTTTTATACGTATTTTTCATGTTTCAATAGAATAATTCTTTCCTTAAATGCATTTTAAAACAAGAAGAGGCTAATTGCTTCTCTTCTTTAAGTTCATATATGCGTAGAATTAGACAAACACATTTATATCCCTTTATAACCTTGTTGAGTTTAAGTGCATATCTTTACAGGTATGGAGAATAGTCATGTGTGTACATTAAAGCTGATATTACTTTTCTTTTTATACCTTTCATGAGCACATATGAATGGAAAGGAAAACGTATTCTTATTTTTAATATAGGGAGGAGCTTGCCTTATGAACGTGCTCACATCCGATACACTCTTAAATCTCTTATTTTTTCAGCGCTTTTGCAAAGTTCAGGAATTCGACTTTGCGAAAAATTTTAAGATACATAAGCTTAGATTTGTTTCCCCATGACATCATTTGCCCCCTTTTACGACGAATATGATAATAGTCGACTTCTCTTGCAGTACTGCTTATACAATTGTACGATGTATTTAGCCACATTATAAACAGGAAGATCGACTTTGCTAAATTTTTTCATCTCATTAAGCATACCAAATGACCTTACTACAGGGGTTACATGGACTATTCGTACAACACATTTTCCCTGTATATCTGTACAAAAAGGCATATTTTTATGAACTTGAACAGATCGCAAAAAAAACAAAATAAAAGCAGTACTTAACAGACGTAAATGCGTAAAAAAGTGAACACACGTTAAATAAATGCCTACTGAGCAACATTTGAACTAATCACCATAATGTTTCGTTCAATCTGTATATGTGCAATTTTATCCTAATTTTTAATTTCGTGTCAAGTACCAAACGTGATAATGTGGCTGTTTGGTATATATGCATACATACACACGTACATATACATATATAATATGTTGTACATGTATAAATGTGCCACTTTTTCCTGCCCTGCCGCCTTCTAAACCCTCCCGACATAACTATATACGGTAGCCTTGCTTGCGCTAGGTCAGTAAGTGTTGTACTATTTTTTTAAAAAAAGCCACATATAAATATCCATTTGTCATTAGTCGCATGTGCTCTTCCTGAAGTTATTTATTTTGTTGTATCTTCCATTTCTTCCTAAAACATTATGTCATGCAAATAGGGTTCTCACGTTTATTGTACTCATATTTTATGTTTTCTTACATGTTAAAGTATAATTAGTACAGAATAAAGGTCCATATACATATTAATGGATTTCTATGTGAACGTTGTGTTAGCAGGCTGACTCAACCGACTGAACTATATTCACCTCATGAGATCAACCACACAAATTTTGTTCGTTAATAATTTGTAAAACAATACTTCCTGTAGGTTCAAATTTATTCATTGTATGCCCTTTCCTTATGTGTTATTTCATTTTTCTCATTTATCTAATTTTCCAAATTGTCCTAATTTTATTTTTATTTTTATTTTCGACCCCACCCCAAAAATTATTTCTTCACCTAACGTACCGCAAGAGTAGAATTTTTTTTGCTATAAAAACGTTTAGCGCTATAAAATACTTTCTCTCGAAATATATTAAACTCATATTACTTCTGCAGAAAAATTTTAACAATTAGTAATTACCTTAATTTTATTCTCACAAGTAAACGTTCCCAATTTTTCGAGATGAAACAATTCAAAATATTAAGCTCGCCTAGGTTTGTGTTCTCTTTTTTCACTTTGATCCATGTTGTGCTGCTGGTAAAAAGATGAAATGGAATTATTTTTATGCCCAAAAAACAGAAAAAACACATTTTTCGTTCAAAAAAATTTCATTCCCTACAATTACTTATTTATTTTGTCTTTTGTTTTTCTAATTTTGTAATAATCCTTCTTACAGAATAGTGGTATCAAGCAACATGGAAATTTCCTGTCATCACAACTACGTGTAACGGCATCCCCAAGACAATTGTGCGAATGTACAGGCAGTGCAAATGTGTATGCTGATCAAAGTGCGCTACATCCTGACCCTAACGATAATGAAGGCAGCTTTGAATTAGGTAATGAACATATCGATGATGGTACTTCTGGTCAAGTAGAACATATCGAATCCGAAGAATATGATGAAGTAAGAAGAGTAGAAGAACTGGGACAACTAGAAGGTGGACAAGAAGAAGAATGGGAGGTAGAAGACGATGATGAAGACCTGAACAACTATGAAGGGGCATTAAATATAGCATCCATATTGAAAAAACATATGCCCCTGATGCCGAAAGATGAAGTCGAGTTTCTATTGATTGAATGTGTTAGAATTCAAATATCGGATTACCATGTTGCCATGGATAATTTATTGAGCGAACTGCATAAATTAGCCTCGAAATATGGAATGCCAGAGGAAGAGGAAATGAAATTGTGGAATGAATGCGAACAAGAATTATCTAAAGATTTTAAAGAGGTAGATGATTATTATCATGAAATTTATAATATTAATATGAAGGCCGATACAGTAGAAACCGTTTCTTTCCTGTCATCCTTAACGAATTTTCTCAGCTTGTGGAAAAAATGTTTACAGGAAACTGAGAAAAAATGGTACACCATTTTTAATGAGAGGACTCAAGAGTATAAAGCAAGTGCTCAAGAGACCGTATTGGATGCATAAGTCAATGGATCAGACACTAAGGAATCGAAAGAATAATGAATTAGACGCAGCTGGTCACCAATAGGAGAAAATATGAAGGATGTAAATAGAACACATATTCCGTCCGCAGCGCTATAATTTGT